AGTAAGGGAAATATAAGTGAGTATGTAATCGTTTTGATCCGGACTTTTCCTGGTGAAGTTGTAAGGTATCGTAGTGGGTTGGGGTCGGCGAGGTTGTGTAGCGAGCATGTAGTTTGTATAATATATGGGTGAGTAGCATAATCATAGATAAGAATTAAAATGATTGCCTGACAAACAGAAATGTCACTAGAAACTCAACAAGTCTGTGGAATGCCTTTTAGCTTGTGCTTAAGTACTGAGGTTGGTTAAACTGACTCTCGTGAACATCGCATTAATGGGGTAGTGGTAACCTGGGTCGTTGCCATCTGAGCATAGCTCGACCCGCCGGGGGTTCGATTCCCCCTTAATGCATCATTTTATTTTCCGTCTTTTGCATGATTTCATTGAACTCTTTTTCGCATCAAGCTTTAGGTTGAAAGGAACAGTTGTTTCCAAATCCCGGGTTCGCACATTAATAGTTTCATAGATATACACGGAATAAGTAAAAGGTTATCATAGATCACCAAACCTGCCCATTCATCAGCCAAGGTTGAAGGAACGGAACGATAATACATTCACACTTGCCTGTCGGGCATGATTGCGGGAGCCAACAAACTCCAGATGTACAAGAGCATGCACACCCAGCTTGATACGACGCGCATCCACATGGCCACTTCTGACCGTCCAATATAAACATCCGGTTCGGTAGATTCGGTAACAGGACGTTGGGAAACAATGTTCCTGATAAGGTCATTTCAGAACCCTACAGATGGCCAGGCGACTGACATTGACTTACCAGTCCGTTAGCAGCATGGCAACATACATCGCCGCAATAGCGAAGATGATATGGAACCAGGAATACTGAGAAAGAAGCATTAGGAAGTGACCCTACGGAGTGATCGAGTGAGTGAGTGAAGATACTGACATTGTAACGTGTTCCAGAACGCTCGTCGTCCCGTGTATCCCCAACAACACCATCCTCGTCATCAGAATCCTCCTCGTCTAAAGCCGATGCGGGAATAGCACTACCCACATAGAATTAGAGTGGAATTATAGATGCTAACAGAGCTTGTGCTTACCCTGCATTGACTGCTGCCAGTAAAGCTTGATACCGAGGTGACTCCGTTCGTCCTGGTTGTGTGGTAACATAGCCCATTTCGGAATGACCATTCTCATCTTCAGCGAGTTGGATCCTGCTCCTTTTTTTGCCAACCAGAGCACGACTTTGGGTGGCAGCGCGCGTTGTGGAATATGCTATGCACAAGAAGGTGAAAATTCCACCGAAAATGACAACGGTGTTACGAGTGCCTTCTCCGTTCCGTAAGGGGTTACAGGACTGGGATTCATGGGTGTGGTTGGTGACGGCTGATACAATGAGATAAGTGCAGTACGCGGCAACCATTCCAGCCGGTGCAAGACCGGAGCGGGGATTGTGCTCTTGAACGGTGGGATGTACGGCAAGTATTGTGATGAGGACAGAAAGAGCAAGGTTGAAGGATATGAAGAATCTGTTGAGTGTACAAGCTGGGCCCGCAAAGTAGGCGTATAGGATTCCAGTAAGGGTGAAAGTGAAGATGTACATGGCTGCAGTGGAGAGGACGAGAACCCATTGCCAGAAATTCGATTCAGAGTTCTCCCAATTTTCGAGGCATGTCTCTGACCATGTGTGGGCGAAGTCGATAAGGAGGACGAGGCCAAGAAGAATGAATACTGTCGCGCCAATGAGTGCGATGTAATTGCCCCAGAACATAAAGAATCCGTTGGGTATGAAGAAGGTGAGAACGACGAGAATAAGCCAGAGGAGGACCTTTGGGCCCCACCAACTACAACAGCGATTAGTACCAAGATGGATGCTTGGTGAGTTATGCATACCCATTTTGAATGGCAGCACGTTTATCGCGAGTATCCTTTACACCAATGAGAGACAGACTGAGGATAAAGTGGAGCAGAGAGAGGGCGAAGCAAATGCGGTGAACCTGTTTCGATGTCAGAGAACCAAAGGCGAGATTGAGAGTAGATACATACGGCGAGAACTCCATAACACTTTCCGTCGTCACAGTCCATCTTTATGTATCCAACACTCCACTTTTCGATTTGTTTTATCATGAGGTCGGTCTTCATTATCCATGCCAAAATGGAATTGAGGGAGAAGATAATCTGGTCAAGTTCAAGGTGTGAGCTACCATTCAGTGACTGAAGAACAAAACTACTCACTGCGAATCCAACACGTGTGGCAATAGAGGAGTTGCAATTACAGGACTTGAAGAACATGGAGGCTGCTGCGGCATTAGCACTCAAGATGAAAGGTCAGTAGTGAAGCTGGCCAACCTGCTGTTGAAGTGCAAAAAAAGGCTAAACCTGCAAGACATGACGTCCCAATAGACGTTAGACCGCCAGCAAGCGGCAAAGAAAGGAGCATGCCCATGGTTGTGAGCTCCTGTGGTGTGGCGGGAGATGAGAGTTATGAGGCGCACGTGATGAGATCATTCAGACAGAACAGACACAGCAACTCTCTACTTGACCACGATCAAACGCTTGGCTGCTCTTATTATTTTCGTGATTCGACCTGTGAGACATCTCTGGCCTCTATATATCTTCGAATTGCAGATATCCCTCGTTTTCCATATGTTTTCCATCCATTGAAGAACCCCGACGACTTTATTCGCTTCTCGCAAATTTAAACATATACTAGGCCTAATTTGGTCGTCTCAGCATCCCCTCAGGCCGCATTTGAACCATTCTTCACAGTTTTAGGACTTTTGGGTGTGCTATCTTTAACGAAATTCAAAGTCATGCTATCCTCACGATTTAGACGTGGCGATGTGTATGTTTTAAAGTCGGAAGATTTTCGCTCATGAATGATCGAGTTCGTCATCAAAGGCTCCCTTTATCAGAAGCTTCTTCCCTTCAACATGTCGAAAGACCCCTCAAAACCTGTCCACTTGACTTGGCTCAGCATTCTATTCTCTCTTTAGACCATCTCAAACTGCCGAAGACGTCTTCCTCGGACACAACGCTCCCTAAAAAAAACAGCACGCTCGTTCCGACCGCCTGGGAAGGATCCTATATCAAAACTATACACCTTCTTGCCGTTATAAACGCTTCGAGGCCACTCAAAAAGCACCCACAAGATGTTCATTTACCACCTCTGTTTTAGTATACTCGGCCAGCAAGTGCTGAGTCTCAACGTTTCCATTCCACTTACACCTCCGTCAGCCGCAGCCCAAGTCTCTTCTTCGGTGGTCTCCTTCTCCATTGAACAGGACCGATGGACAGATTGGTCTGGAACCACGTCGCGCAACCAATTCCTCTTCAATGTCCTCGACAATCTAGGCCAACTTACAGGTACACCACCTCACGTTAGAATCGGTGCGGACAGCGAAGATCATACCAAATTTAATGCTGCCATTCAGGTACTACTTCGTTGTTACTTTGATTCTATGGAGTGATTTTCTGATGACGAACTACAGTCTACTCAGTTGGTATTTCCTGCAGCAACGACAACAGTTCCATATCCGGAAGCTACTAACATCACTGTGGGGGATGCGTTCTATCAAGCTACGCAATTTCTTCCACCCGGTTAGCTTCATTTATTTCATCCCAATCCATTGCCTTATGAAATCCCTCACCAAACCACAGGTACTCATGTCACATGGGGCCTCAACTTCGGACAGTTCAATTTGACTACTGCTTTCCTTGAGGCGAGATCGATTGTCCAGGCGTTCGGTTCTTCTGCTATACAGAATGCGGGCATCGTTCTAGATGCTATCGAAATCGGCAACGAGGCCGACCTGTATAAGAACAATGGTGCTCGACCGTCGAGTTACAATATAGCACAATACGTGACTGAGTAAGTCATTAGTCCGTGTATTTAAACTTTTGTTTACCAAGTTCTTTTCATCCAGATGGACTACTTTTGCTACGAATGTCTCTGCAGCCATGGGCATTTCCTCTACCTCTGCGACTAAGTTCTGGGGACTTGCATTTGCAGAATCATCACATTCGTCCACTAGTGGATTTTCTCCTCAGTCTGCCTTCAATCAGGGGTTGTTGAAGTCGGGCCCTGGATCAGCCATCTCTACGTATGTACATGGTTTGTTTACATCCGCTCTACCGCTGACATCCGTATAGTATATCTCAACATCACTATAGCGGTTCATTCTGCTCTGGGAGCGAGGGTTTGCTGCAAGATCTGATGACCAAGTCCACCATCCGCGGGAATCTCTCGTCGTTCAGCTCTGATATCGCCGCGACACGCGCACAGGGACTCGATTACGTGTTTGGAGAGACGAACAGCTATTCATGCCATGTGGGTGTTTAGCATATATACCCTTCTCAACCCTTTTGGGCTTATGCCTCTTCGTTTATAGGGTGCTCCTGGTGTCAGCAATGTAGCGGGAGCCTCTCTCTGGCTCTTGGACTACGCCTTATATGCGTGCGTAGCACCAAGCGTTATTAGGAAATAAGGGGCACCCGTCTCAACTAACTGCTCGCAGAACTCAGATTGGCATCTCAAGGCTCTTCTTTCACGAAGGGATAGGCTATAAGTATAATCTAGTCAGTTTCCGCCCTTTTTCTTTTGCGCAGTTATCCTAACTCAAGCTTAAACAGATTCAACCGGTAACTTTGACTCGCTCGATTTTGGATGGCTCGACTCTTGCCAGTCCACTTCCTCCACATGTTCAACCCCCGTACTACGGTGCCATAGTCGCCGCAGAAGCTATCGGTAGCAGTGGAAGCGCACAAGTGGTTGAATTGTCTGTCAATAATCCCCGCGTCTCCGGCTATGGCTTCTACGAAAACATGCAACTAGTTCGCGCGGTATTCATCAATTCACAAGCCTATCTCTCCACCACCAGTGGCAATCGGACCAGTGTACATCTTGATTTCGGGTTTTCTGGAAGCGGTACAGCGCCCACCCAAATCAGTGTCAAACGCCTTGCAATCGGGTTAGTTGACTCCGATCCTGATACAATCGCTGAGACTTATAGTACTTGTTTAGACATGCTGACGATCAGTCGGGATTGAAATGGGGCGGGCAGTCTTACGAGACATCTGATGGACGTGCCAATGGGACCGTCACCGTCCAGGCGGGCACGGTCGCATCTGGTGTGGATATCGTAGCAACAGAGGCTATTTTGATTACCTTTAGCTGAAGGTGATTAAATCATTTTCGCTTCTCTGAGATCTTCTACTAGGTGGTCTCTGTGATACCCTTCAATTATGTATGCATCTCTTCATAACAAGCCACTCAATCTATTCCCATCTATACCCTCGTATACACGCACCACTTCAGTCTGTCAGGTCCGCTCTATCGGCAATCAGCAGCCGTTGAGCCGTTTACCGCAGTCCTTTTCAGAGTCTCAACACTG